GATTCGACGGCACATAAAACAACACAACACAACATATGCATGTGAGAGCTGGAGAATGAATAAGGAAGACTGAAGAAGAATTGATGCATTTGAATTGTGGTGTTGGCAAAGAATATTGATTGTTACCATAGACTGCTAGAAGAATGAACAAATCTATCTTAGAAGAAGTATAGCTAGAAAGCTTCTTAGAAGTGAGAATGGCCAGACTTCAAGGCTCATATTTTGGTCATGCTGTCAGAAGGTACTAGTCCCTGGATAAGGCTATCATGCTCCTTAAGAGGGGAAGACCCTTAACCAGATGGATAGGCACAGTGGTACAACAATAGACTCAAGCATGTCAACAATTGTGAGGATGGCATAGGACTAGTCAGTGTTTCATTCTGTTGTACAGGGTCACTATGAATCAAAACTCACTCAACAGCACCTAACAGCAACAACACAATGACCTTGTGAAGTATACCAATTAAACAGATTTTTTAAAAAGCCAAAGCTCAGAGAGGTCAAGTATCTTGCATGTAATGAAATTGAGATCAAGCCCAGGGCTTCAAACTCTTTATGTTACACCTCACACAATATCTCTGATACACTGGTAGAAAGAAATAATAATAGAGGGACAAATGCTGAAGAGTGGTGATGAGATAAGAATGGAGGGATTTAAATTGCAAAGGTGATAATGATTAGTTTTGGAAAAGAACTTCCTAATTGTAAGGTTAATGAAAAGTAGAACTGGGCGAGAAAGAGTGATGAATTATTTATCTCTTGCTGGAGATAAAGATCAAAGTGACACCAATGCACACTTACATATTGTTGAACTGCAACCTGCTTGGGATGAGGCAATGCATTGATGAACCTTAAACTCTAAAATTCCATGATTCCTGATTTAGTCTTAGACTTAAGTTAAAAACATTAGGAAGTTATGTAACATCAAAGTCTGGATGAAAGGAAACCATTGATCCTTGCTACAATTTAATATGCATTGAGTACCCACAATTAGCTCAATCTGAGACAGGCATCATATGATTATATACACGGTAGAAATTTAAATTTCCTACACTGAATGAAAGGAGTTCTGGTGGCTCAAAGTTTAAAGGACTCAGGTGTTAACTGAAAAATCAGTGGTTCAAATCAACCAGTCGCTCCATGGGAGAAAGATGAGACAATTTGCTTCCCTAAAGAGTCTGTAAATCTTTTGGTAAAATTTGGAACAAGGTGCCCATTACATTCAATTGCTAACAAACCCACCAACCAATGAGACAAAGGTGGGAGGTCCAGTAGGGTGAATGTGGGATTTAGAAAAACTTGGAGAGTGTCTCCTTTGTTTTGCTTACAATCACTTCTACTTACATTTCCCTAAAACTTCAGCTTATTTAAATGAATATATAGGACATATTAGATTTGTTTCTGGTGTACCTGTCTCTCAGAAAGGCCCAAGTTGACTGCCAGCTCTGATTTCCTTCTGATGGTGATGTATCTATTGCAGTGGAATTCTTTCTCCAGCTCCAGCCTTTGATGATCTGTGTAAACAACACGATACTTTTCTTTTGTCCTGGTTTTACCTATTAGGTAGAAAGTAATGTATTTAATTGTATCCTGCTTCTTCTGAGATTGTTTTCATTGAAGGAATCATGGCCACTCTTCCTATCCTCATCTCTTATTTTAAAACATAAGTACATTTTTTTAGTCAAACATGTCATATTTCTTCATTAAATAATTTCTCACATGTGTCTCTAATATATATTTATAAACATGAAACTAACAGCACTCTCTCTCTCTCTCTCTCTCTCTCTCTCTATATATATATATATATATATATATTACAGTTCTACTGTAAAATTCTACTGTTACATCAAAGTATTTTAAAGCAAGCACTTAACTCATGGTTTTAACTCCCTTCTCACTCATATCAGAGCAGTATTAGCAGTAGTTACAACACCCATTATACATACACTTTTCTTTACATTTTATGCAGTCTGTTCATTCATACTGTTTCCTATTAAAGTTCTTATGTACCCTTTTGAATGATGACCATGTCTTATCCTCATTTTACAGATAAGGAACCTGAGACTCAGTGTAGGTAACTGACTTTGTGTTAGTAAGGTGAGGAGTGGGGACTTTTTGACTCCCCATACAGCATGGTAAAAATCATCCATAATTTAAACATGATGGAAGGCATAAGAATGGCCCAAGTGTGGCAAACAATTCTGTAATTTTGGCATCAATTGTTACATATACATCCCAGAGATAATTAGGTTAAACTAGTGATTGAAAAAGGAAACATATGTTAGCAGATTCTGTTAGCATAGCCCCTATTACCTATTAGAAAAAAAATAGCTTAATTTTTGGTGTGAGAGTCTTAAATAAATTTTTATTCTCAAAAGAATAGTGAATAGGGGAAAGAGGGAGTGTTGATTTAAGCAAAATAATGCGAGTATTCCATGACGTTTGAAAGAATATCCAAACATTTGTTTTGTGTTACAACATTTAACTAATTTCTCATGCCCTTCTTCAAAAAGAGTCTTATTCTTCCTTTCAAAATTTCTGAAGGCAGTTAGGAAGTGTCCTTTTCTCTTAAATTCCTCTAACCTCCTCCAGGCTCTTCCTTCTATTTTCTATGGCTTTTGGTAAACTTCTTCTGATCTTCTTTGGTTGTTTTTGATGTGAGGTTTTTTTGGGGGATGAACTGTAAGACAAAGCTTTCTTTAAAGTAGTTCCCTAAACTCCATTGAGGTGTTAAGATGCAGCACAAGCCTAACAAAGGAGCTACAGAGCATCAGATCCCAGAACTCTCTTTATATTCAGGAACACCAGCCAGTTGGTCTGGAATTTACAAGCCCTAAACAAATGTCAGACACCCTTTTATCTCCAGGAAAGAAAGAAAAGAGACATAAATTTAGAAACAAATTCTAGATGAGCGCTATATCTTAGCTTTGAACTGAATGGCTTAGTATACTAATGAACTAAACAAACTTTTTACCCTGAAAATGGAAAATGATGAGTCCCAGTCAATTAACCTGCCTCAAAGCCTCAAACTTTGAGCTAATTTTCTGAATCCAAATTGAAATTCAGGAAACCAGTAATCTGGCTTTTGGTATGGTATAAAGACAGATTTATATTTGGGGTCAAATAAGAACTTTGAGGTTTAATTTATTTCCAGAACCCCAAATCTTGGGATTAAACTGTATCTTTGAAGAGATGTTTCCTAACACCTTTCCTAAATCCAAATTGAGTGTTTAAATTCTGACTTTAGGGAGAGATTAAAATTCAATTTTTGTGTGTCTGTGTTTCCTTCTCTTTGATAATCAGTAAATATAACTAGACTTGAAGAACTCTGAAAAGGCTGTGGTCCTTACCCAGCCCCACTGGTCATAAATTTCCCTCTTGCAGTTTCTTCTGAGGATAATAAAGTCAAGACCAGGCCTCTTTATTTGCCATGAAAATCCTCACTCTTTCCTGCAATATAATCTCTGAAGATAGGAGGGTTGAGGAAGAGCCCGGCTGCATATCAAAGCCATGCAAAGTGTTGAAAAGGGTCTTTTGCCTCATTCTGACAGATAAGGTGTCAAACTCCAAGACGATATAGCTCAGTCAAAAATATTGTCTGTATAATTTACAAAGAGAAATGAATTTGCATTTCCTGGTGCTCTTCTTCTGGCCCTCCCATGAACTATCTCTACCCTCCCTTCCTCCTTATTGCCTCATCTGCTTAAATGATGAGACCTATTTTATGGGGTTTGGAGATTTATTGGCAAATATAATGTTCATATTGCTATCCCCAAGCATCACTTTTATTGTTTAAGCTATTCTCTTCGAACAGAGAATATGACATTTCCAAAGGTGATAGACTTCCCTAAAACTTCAACCTTTTGAAGTTACTATATGGGACATATTAGATGGACTTCTGGTATACCTATCTCTCAGAAAGCCTCGTCCACTATTGTGAGTTAATTCAGGAAAGTAACAAAGTGTAAGACAGATATATTAAAGGGCTTTTCCCACCCTCTGTGGTGATGATTTCATTATGTATCCCCTAAAAAGAGCCAGGGAAAACTCCCTAGCTCAAAATGAAAGGAGTCCTTCCTATCACTTAGGAAATAGTATCCCCACAGTTTGCAAGCAGTTGCTATCATATTTGATGGCTTATTATTACCCTAAATGAAATTAAAATGGTGCTTATTTGAGAGACTGGCTGAGGAAGTGCTGTTAAACAGAAAAGCACCATGCAAACCTAGGGGTTTGATGATAATGACAATGGGGGAAAAGATGGTGAAAACAAAATTTTCCCATAAAGAGTACTGTGCAATTGGCCTACTATGATGATTTTTCATCCCATGTCAAATGTTCATTGCTTTCAGCTAAATGGTATGTCAAAATTCATTTTAAAAATTATTAAGTGAACTGATCAAAACCAAAGGAGAAAATGATAAACCTAAAAAACTATTAAGCAATTGATTTTATTAAGTGTCCTAATTGAATTATGCCTTTTAAGCATAACTTCCTTAGTGTTTTGTACAGTAGCTTAATCAGAATTAATCAAAGTCATATCCTTCTCTCTCTCTTTCCCACCTCTAAGAAGAAAACCCTTCTGCAGCACTATTTAGGTTACTACCCTGCCAATACTCATCTAGATCTAAAACTCCAGATAAAAGAAAAGATGGAAAAATAATACCTAGCTCTGGTAGCATAGTGGCTAAAGCACTTGACTTCTAACCAGAAGGCTGGCGGTTCAAACCCACCAGCCACTCCTTGGAAGGAAGTTTGGGCAATCCTACTTCCATAGTGATACTGCCTCGGAAACCCAAGGAGGGGTTGCTATGAGTCGGGGCCGACTTGAAGGCACACAACAACAACAACAACATAGTGCAATGAGAATAATTAAAATGGGAAAATAATTTTTCACAGGGGCTTTTCTGTCAGACTCCTATTCATATAATCTCTAAAATGAGATGTATATTAGAGTAGATCATGTAGGTAACTGAGTGGAAATAAAAATATCTCATTTTTCTTTTTAATCAGATCACCTAAAGGATAGTAATTTATGTGTTGACTCCTTTCATTAGAAAATAAAAGTTATAATGATCACTCTGACATATTTTCTGATTGTCTTGTAATAAGTATATATTTTTCTTTAACCCAAGGCTATGGGAAACATTATTCAATAATGTAAAGAGTTTTCATTTGCTTATCTTAACCAGGGTGGAATTACATCCATTTTGCAGTTCATCTGTGCTCCTCTCAGCCATAAACCATGTGTTGTTCCACACAGAGCAAAGTGAAAAATTTAGGAGGATCTAACACATTTATTTATTCAACAAATGTTTGTTTAACATACACTATGTTCTAAGCATACAAATGGGTGTATTTTGGTTAGGGGTAGTTCACTGAGGTGATCAACTTAATTTTTATTTTGTGGGGTTCATAATCTGAAGTCCATGGAAAGGCTTCATGGCTCTCAAAAAATATTCAGAAAAGGACTTTTGTCTGCACATACAGGTGTGCTTTTGTGCTTTTTTATGGGACCCCAAACCAAATCTACTGCCACTGAGTTGGTTCTAACTCAGAGTGACCCTACAGGATGGAGTACAACTGCCCCATAGGGTTTCCAAGGCTGTAAATCTTCATAGAAACAGACTGCCTCAACTTTCTCCCACAGGGAGGGTGGTGGGTTCAAACCGAACCAGCAGCAGAATGCTTTAACCACTGCACCACCAGAGCACCATTTTTTTTCTGGGAGAAGGGTCTATGTTTTCATCATATTTTTAGATTATTGCTAAATATGCAGTTTGGGCTACAAAAATATAAGGGAGTCATTTACTTTATAAGACTTATTAAAATTAGGTAACTATGGGGAGGAAGTGGGAGGGGAGCTGTTGCATTGTGGTAAACTGTGGTCAATGTCATGAGACAAAGTGTATGTGAACTGCTGTATGGACAGTGAATTTGCTCTGTAAATCTTCACCCAAATCCCAATTAAAAAAAAAAAAAGACTTATTAAAATTTAAAAAGAAAGAATAAAGCTTTATCTATAAGATAGGCTGCTAAAAGTCAAAAGTGTCCCATTTAACTTTAAATTTCTCCTAGAAGTTGGAGAGTATCTTGTGAATGTGGCATTATAAACCCAGATTTGGGGACTCAGCTAATGATGAAGAAACTACAGACTAAGGACTCTCCTTGCATGCATAAAATCCTCCAGGCACCTAGAGACAGGACCCAGACTACAAAAAAGTAAATACAAAATACAAAAAAGCAAAGGCTACAAAAGCAAATACAAATGGGAGAGTTTTAAGCAGAGAAAGATATCATATTCCCCTCCTAACCAGAAAATGTGTGGCCCAATATTTCTTTCATTTTCTTCATTGTTCTCTCTTCCAAACAACATACCAGTGACTTTCCTCTCAAAATGTTTCAAAACGCAATCCTGGACTGGGAGCAGCTACTTTTCTGGTATTTGTGTCTTTTCTCATTGTTAAGGCTTTTCTCATTGTTAATTAAATTAACACCACAGAGCACCCCACCCTAATCTTATTTTCTATCCTACTAGCCAGCCTACTAACTCATATTTCAAAAAAGAAAAGTGCACATTTACCCCAAAAAACTCTTCAAAACTAAGGATTCGAGCTTTGCTTTTAACTAGGATTACTATTCTAGTAATGTCTTAATCAACCCGAACTACCTCTTCCTGACCAAGGGTTAGTCCCTTCCCACCCTCCTGCCTTTGCTTTTATGAGCAGGATAAAAATGCAGAACTGTGAACAGGAGCATAATCATTGTGAACAAATACTACTTAAATAGTATTTTCTCCCCAGAGGGATAAAAGAAATGGGTTGAATTTTACTAATGTTTTCTAATGATAGGGAGAGATAAGTTGGAATAATAATTGGATAAAAGAACAACTACAGCTGAAAACAAACATCTCCCCCAACTAAGATTAAAGCAGATTCCCCACTTCCTCTGTTCCTGGCTCTCAGCAGCTATCCACAGGTTTGCTGGCAAGAGCTCTAGGGTTGTCTGGGGTAGATGGGCCTTCCTGAGAACTGTCCAAGCACTCCTGCCTGGACAGAAATGAAGGATTTAACCACTTAGTAGTGTTGAGGTTGATGTTCTTGCAGCCCAGTGGGTATGTCCTGGCAGAAAAGACATTGAAAGAAAGCAATGGGTTTGGGTGAAGGAAGCTGGTTGAGAAGTCAGGGTGACTAAGCTCCTATGATGTCATGTCCTTCGTCCTTTGTAGTTAAACTGGTGTAAAGGTGCTAGCCAAGCACAGTGCACCTAAGTTGAGCATCACCAAGTTTTGGGGAGAGCTGGCCCACCTGGATGGGGGAAGGTTTGGAAAAGGAACAGGCAAGCATCAGTGGACACTATGGGCTTAGGAACACCACTTGCTTTATTTTCCTGTTACATCTGTTTTCCAGTCTGGGAAACTACAGGGCTTACTTATCCTGATCCTTGCAGCTCAGCACACCCATTGTCCACAGGCTAGCTCCCTTGATTGATCAGGTGGCTAAAACCACCCCTAGGGTTAATTTAGTTCCAAACGCTGCATTAAGATGGGCTTTGAACTTAAGACTCATGTGAAGGAGCTCAATAATGAGCTGAGATAGAGTGAAATGTTGGGGCGGCAAACCAGCCTGGCAGGGACCTCCCCAGCTAAGCTATCCAGGGAGAGGCCTAGATAGGAGTAGGAGCACCGTCAGGCCAAACTAAGTGGAGAAGGGATAAAAGAAGGGAAGGTGTGAAGGCATTGGAATCCATTACTCACCCGTCACCTGCAATGTCTTGCGCATCCACGCATAAGGGCTGTGCTGGTTCCTGCTGGGGGAGCTAGCGTTAGCGGTTTCCGCTTCAATGGGGACCAGTGTCCCGTCTGCTGGGGCTGGCAGGCTACCGCTATTGTTTCCGCTAGCCGTAGGGCCTAGGTTGCTGTACTCCTGCAAGCCAAAAGCGGCTGGGCTAGAGGTCATGTCCTCCATGAGGACCGCGCCCATTGTATTGGATAGACCAGAGTATGCGCTCCAGTCTTCCCGGAGGGGACTGTATAGTGAGCCCCAGGTTCCCAGTGACGGCCCGCGGAGATCCATGTTGGGCATGTGGTGATGCCCTATGTAGTGAGAATAGGCCTGGGTCGCCCCGAAGTTGGGAACTGGCAGCAGACTCCCACTGCTACCAGTGCCAGCCTCTTCAGCGCTGTCTTCCTTCTCGGGGCTCCTAAGTGTGCCCAGATATATGCCGCTTTCTTTGTCCAAAAGGATGCTTCGGTACATGTTTTTTTGGGTAAGAGGAAGAAGCTCCCTAAGCCATCCTGATGTCCCTGAAAGGCACTGACCCAACTTCCAGGAGCAGCACAGAATCAATCAGTCCATAGCTGTGCTGCTAGCTCCTCTGCTCCCCTAGGACTGCTCCATCCCTTGTTTCCTACCCCGATGTTTTCCAGGTGACTGGTAGCCTTGTCTAAAAGGGGCACCAATAGCTGGCCTGACATCAAGGGGCTCCAGGCCTTTACATAGCATTTACATTCAAATTAAGGGCCATTTCACTTTCACAAGGACTTTTTCAAGGTAGACTCTCTCTCCATGAGCTTCCTGGCCTTTCTGTTTCATCTTTTTTTGCTTAGTCCCCATGGCACAAGTTCTATGCTTTTGGAGAAGGGAGATTCTTCAGGGGTTTCTTACCAACTTCCTCCGAAGTGATATGGAGACAAGCAAAAGCAGGGCCAAGTCCTGTTCTCTACCATTTAGTCTTGCCCCAGGGACCTTTATCCTCTTGCTGATCTTCCCAGCCCAGTCTGCCTAGGTAATCACCTCTCTTCTCATATTCCCTGGCAGTACACAAGTACACAAACATGGCACATGCCCATGATGCCACTGAGAAAAGTTTTCCTTTCTCCTTATTGCTCCGTCTCCAGGATTCATTCCACCACTATATATTGAGCATCTACTGTATGCCAGGCACTATTGTAGACACTGGGGATACAACAGTGAACAAGAGACAAAAAAATTCCTGCTCTGCCCTCCTAAGGTTACTTTCTAGGCTGGATTAATTGGATGTTTTACAAATACACACAGATTTAAAAAAGATCAAGAGGGTAGGGTATGAATAAAGGAATTAAGGAGGGAGAAGAACATATGGATAATGGGCTCTCCTATTTTCCATGTCAGTTCACTTGTCTCAGGGGATTCTTTCTGTTAGGTATGGCTTCTGTTCCAAACCCAGTGCCCCAAGGGGCCAGAACTCCAGTAGTCTCAAATCCAGAGAAGCTGCAGCTCCCAACTTGCTTTCGGACTGGAGATTTTCTTTGTAAAATTCCAATCATTGATAAAGGCATAGTTTGCCAGTATATGCTACTGAACTTAACAATTCGCCTCAAATAACCATGTCACCTCCTGAGCACAAAACCAATCTGTGTCCCACCATCACCCTCCATGCAAGATGCACCACAACCTTTACTTCAGGCTGCTCCCTACCCAGGGAATGTGCTCCTGTACGAGGTCCAACCCAACTCAGCACCCCACATTGCTAATTCTTCTCTGGCTTTGGGAAAGTCACTTCACCTCTGTGAGTTTCAGGATTTCTTCCTTGTGTGAAATATGGACCATAACATTATTTGTATTATAAGGAAGGATTTACTGAGATAATGAATGCAAACTTCTTAACTTAGTGTTTGGTACACAGCATAGGACCATTGTACTTATTAATTCAGTCAACACGTATGTATTGTTCTATGCATAGAAACATCAGTAGTGACCAAAATAAATAAAGCCTCTGACCTTATCAAGGTTATATTTTATTGAAGACAGACACAAACAAGTAATTACATTATATGTCAGACAGTGATCAATGCCATGAAGAAAAAGAAAGCAGGAACAGATGATAGAGAATGTTACATTTTAAAATGGGGTGGACTTGGAGGACCTCCCTGAGAAATGGCATTTGTATAAAAATCTGAAAGAGGTGAGGGTGTGAGCTATGAAGAGAGAAGATCTAGGCAGAGAGAACAAGTGAAACAAGAATACCTGTCTTGGGAGGCGGGGCAAGATGGCGGACTAGGCAGAAGGATTGCACAGACCCTCTTCAACAAAGAAAAGGGAAACCAATTAATACAGACACAGAAGATAATCTTGGACCCCTGAGCCTTGAAGAAAAGGATGCAGATTTGGACTAAACCCCAACTAGCAGAAGAATTTGCGTGAAAA